GAGAGAGAGAGAGAGAGAGAGGGCTGAGCTCATGCTACTTCCATCTATAGGATGAGATAAGTCGAATGAATCTACCGCTAGATCATGGAAATATACATGTTTGTTTGTGTTTATGTGTGTGTGTGTGTGTGTGAGAGAGAGAGTGTGTGTGTGAAAGTGTGGGTGAGAGAGAGTGTGTGTGTGAAAGTGTGTGTGAGAGAAAGAGAGAGGGAGAGAGAGAGAGAGAGAGAGAGAGAACACACACACACACACAGACACACACACACACAGACACACACACACACACACGCACACACACGCACACACACACACACACACACACACACACACACACACACAAAAACAAGTGTGGCAGTGTGCATCCATGTTCTAGCGGCAGATTCATTCGATTTCGCTCATCCTGTGTGTCTATGTAGCATGAAGCCAGCCGCGAGGTTGGAGACTTACCTGTTCAAAAGATCTATGGTACCAGTAGGGGCATGTCAGAATTTTCCAACGGCTATCCGGTAGGGGCATGCTGCAAATTTGGTCTGGGTACCGGTAGGGGCACTTCGAAAACATCTGACGCCCAAATGACACCAGGGTTTTATGGAAAATTTGACTTGTGGTCAGAGGGGTGAGACAGGGTAAATCAGCCGTCAGAGGGGCGCCATGCAAAATAATGCAAAATACAGGGGCGCCAGACAAATTTTCCCTTCTTAATTTTCATTTTTGTCTTTTTTTGGGGGGGATAATTTGCAAAATACCCCCATAAGTTGAGGTATATGCAAAAATGCCCCTAAAAGATGTGGGTAGGGCGGAATGGCCCTCTGACAAAAAAAAATAAAATTGTGAAATACCGCTGGCATAGGTTGGAACCCCATCTTTGCAATATACCCCTACCGCGTACCGTCAAACTTTGCAAAATGCTCAAGTATTTGCCAACTTCTCCTAGGCGCTATTGCAAAAGGCCAAGGCCCAAACGGGGAGGTCCAGATTGCAAAGTTGCACACCCGCCTGACAGGGGCACAACACAGAGATTTCGGCCCAAAAAGGCATTCCGCTCTTCCCACATCTTGCAGAAGCATTTTGGCATATATCTCAACTTATGAGGGTATTTTGCAAATTATCCCTTTTTTTTTTCTTTTTTTTTTGCTTGCATTTTGTGAAAAAGCAGGACAAGATATTCATCACCCTCTTCGTGGAAGCACCCCCTGCACTTCCTGCACCCGAGGGAGTTTTGACAGGCGATATTTGAATCTACCCAGCCATCCTCTTCCAGATCAGTTACCAGAAGACTTAGGCCAGATCCCACTGGCAAAGAGGATTGGAATAAGTGCCTGAATCAGGACCTGTTCCACGCGGAGATGCAGAAAAGAAGATCAATTACGGTTTTTTGCACCTCTCCGCAAACATGTCCAGATTCAGACACTTAGGGCATCGTTAGACACTCCTCTCGGGCTCCGAGGATGAATCCTCGGAAAAGTTTAGGATTTTTGTCGTCTTCGTTACACTCATCCTCGGAGCATCCGTTTTAGGACTCATCCTCGGAGCAATGTCAGAACAAAAAAAGGAAACAAAAAAGAAAAAAAGTTGTGCTTCAGGCTTTCAGCCAATAGGGTGCCGCCACAATCCTAATTCTCGGTTGTAACGTCTCTCTACGTGCATGTCCTCTCCTCTCTGTGAAACATGGATCCTCGGGCCCCAAAGGACCTCTTGAGGTCCTTTGGAGCCGAGGACGATTTGGCTGGTAAATCCTTGGAGCCCAAGGATTTGTCCTCGGAGTGTTTTCACATTTTCATTTCCGATTTCATCTCTGAGGACAGGTGGAACGAAGACGAAATCCTTGGAATCACGTCCCCGATGAGTGTCTAACGACGCCCTTATTCCAATCGTTTTTGCCAGTGGGATCTCGCCCTTAGTTGTTTGTACCATACTCTGGCCGACGGTTCCAGACCAAAGCGGATGCTCCAAAGATCCGGAGAAAACGGATCTTCATAAGCGTCGTGTACTTTAATGATGTTACCAAATGCCTCTTTAATTACACCACATAGATCCCAGGGGAAGAACAGACACTGGCACCTGGATGGCCTTAACTCAGAAGTTGCGAAACTTCTGGGCTTCATTCCACTCATATAAATTAAATTTGTTTTCAGTCATGCAGGGCCTAAACTGCACAGCATAGGTTTTGTCATCCAACTCGATCTTGTCTGATCCCATCCTTTTCATCAACAGGGCCGCCTCTTTGGCGCTGGGTACGTATGTTAATATCAAGTTTTTGCTTTCGCATCGAAAAATGCCCCTGATTGGAGCGACGTTTATTTCCTTTGAGCGTGCCCATCCATCCTCATAAATTCGGATCAGGCGGTTCTTTACCGAGGCCGGGAGTGCGGAAGAGTCCATCCCGAATTGGACCGCAACAGTGTGTTCGTTGGGCCATTCCGCCTGGGCTTCATGACGTCCTTGACACCTTGTTGATGACAACCGCACGTAGTCCTGTCCAGAATCTAACATCCTTGGTGCAAACTCCTCCGGCAGAATACCTTTGGAGTAGCAGTCCTCTATCATCCCTGTGGAGATGTTACCATCGCGGAGTATTAGCGTTCCGGCCGAAAATTAGCGCTCCGCCGCCGGCATCCTCACCACCGGGGTTTTTTTTTTTTTTTTTTTTCACTTTCTGCATTCCATTAATTAATTCATAATAATTTTCACTTTGATTTTTTTTTTTTTTTTTTTTTTTTTTCCAAACTTCGAGTCATGGCCACCACTTAGGGAGGTGATATGAGCAGCCCCCCTAAGTGGCTCCACAGTTGAAGGCTCCATCTATTGGTGGGGAGCAACACCTGCTGGAAACCGGGTCCAGCGTCCCTCATATTACAAGACATTCCATGTGACTGACAGTGATCAGACAACCGACTCATGTAGATGGGCTTTCCAGTCCTAATTGTTGCCTGTTGCCTGTTCCCCCGGAGGCGCGGGTTAGCCAGGCTGATTTGAAGGTCCTTGCCAAATGGAAGAGAACGGGCCTCGACCCCCACTGGCCCCTGTTCCGGTTGGGGGGAATGGGCCCTCTCTTCGTCGGCTGTTGTGCAGCGCTGATCCTCTGTTGTAATCCCAGGCAGCTACCTCCCTCCTGCATGTCACCCTGTTGCTGAGGCTGAGAATGGTGGAGCTCTTCAAGGCTGCCGTTGTGCATGGCCTGGTGACTCGAATCTTGCACGCCGGTCTGGGGACGTGATACCATTTATGGGGCCGAGCACCATTCGTGGTGAGAGGCAGCTGAAGGGGGGTCGACGGGGAGGGGGGGATGAAGAGGTCAGAGGGATCGGCCCAGACGGGACAGGGGAGGGGGGGGGCGGTGGCGGGCTCGCGAGAGGGAGGGGAGGTTGGGAGGTCAGGGGTGGCGGCAAGGGGGCAAGTGGATAAACAGTTCGGGGAAGGGGGGCCGAAGGCAAAGGAGGATACGGGGCCGACGGTGGAGGCGAGGTAAGCGGCAGTTGAGAGCAAGGGAGTGGAGGCTGGGATAGGGAGGGAGAAGGGAGAGGTTGGGAGTTGGTCTGAGTTCCCCCTACGAGTACACGGTCCACTATCAAGGCATGTGCATTCTCGCCCGGCAGCGGGGTGTGGAAGCAATCGAGCGATCTCAGCCGCCAGTGTTTTTCCTTGGCGAGCCAGTTCTTCCATATCAGTTTCCCTTCATCGCTTAGCTTTGCCAACTTCCTCTGGGGGTCGAGCCAGAGGTCCTCAAACTCTGAGATTGCTTGCCGCTTCCTCAATTGATCTGGTATTGCTTGCAGCTCAGTGAGCAGCTGCTTATTGGCCTTTACTATGTTGGCCCTTAGCCTGAGGGAAGCCAAAGGTGAAATCTTTACGTTCGGTCGAACATCGTGTTCTCCATATAACCATAAGGATGGCCAGCCAAGTGTTCTTGAACAGATTTCGTTGAAAAGCAGACCAGGTGGATGGGTAGTCATTTTGCCTCCCCAGCAGTATCAGGCCTTCTTTTTTTTCTTGTTTATTTTCGTCGGTACTTCAAATTTCAATAACAGAGGCCGGATCAACACCAAGAGTGGTTTTTTCGTCCTTCTTCCTCTGATGCCTCTGCTACTGATTTCTCTCCAGGGTTTGTGCTTGGTGGGACCTGCCACCCGGTGCTTTGATTCCTTTTCTGTTTTCCCTTCCTGTTTTCGCAGGTGTCGGCTACTGTGTTATTTTTCCCTTTTACCCCTTTTGGGGAATGGCTGTTGCTAGTGGCAATTGGTGTGGCTGTCTTGTGCCAGGGGACGCTGTAGAGGGAAGCTGTGCCATTTCCCCGCCTGTACAGTAAACATTCGATTGAGTATAGGAAAATACTGTATGTTAGATAGGCTATTTGGTTGCTTTTTGCTGTAATGGAGAAACAATGTGCTGGAAACTCTTGGGTACTGTATTATGCCTGAGGGAGATCATATACGCTGTTTTGTTGGCACTGTGACTTCTGTTTTCAGGTGTGATGCAATTGGTGGGCCCTCTGACCCTGGCCGGTGGTGCCTAGTCCAGGGGGTCCAGCCTGGCTTTTTTGTGAGGGATGCTGGGCCCGGTACCCGGCTTTTCATAAAACTTTTTCCAGAAAAATAAAAATAAAAATCAATAACCTGGCCAGAAGAAAGAAATAATAGAACAGATGGAATAGATGAACGACATTCCTGAATTACCTTGGGGGCCATCAGTTTCAGGATGATACCTCAAGGCTGTCGCCCTTTTGCTAAAAATAAAATAAATGGAAAACAAGGGTGCAGGGATGATGGACCCGATTTCTAGCAGGTGACGCTCCCCACCAATAGATGGAGCCTTTCCCCGTGCGGTAGTGGTGTCTGCTCTTACCAGCACCACTATCACCGCGTGAATGGTTAAAAAAAAAAAAAAAAAAAAAAAAAAAAAAAAAAANAAAAAAAAAAGAAAAAAAAAGGGTGCAGGGATGATGGGGCTCGTTAGACACTCCTCGGGCGCGTAAATTCCCCGAGACGGTATCTAACGAGCCCCATCATCGCTCTCCGCTACCGTTGTGTTCGCTCTCCGCTATCGTTGTCGTCATCTTCAGCATGTCGTCACGCGGAGGTAATCGCGGCAAGAAGAGGGACAGCTGTGAAGGGCACACACTTGTGGCCGTTAAAAGAGGACGTCATGTGGCAAAGAACGAGAAGGCTCTTGCAGAGGGCCCTTCGAAGGGAAGTGGTGCAAGGGAGGAAGAATGGGCTAGGGATTGCTATGTCGCCGGCAATGACGAGGACTTCGTGTCTGACAACGAACTGGAAGCCGTCAGACAAGCGTTAGTGCCAGCACAAGGGGCGGTGCGGATTAGTGAGCCGTGCCCGCAGACTGCTCCCCAACCCCATGGCGGGGAGGACGTTCGCAAGGGTGATGTCATCATCTATGTGGATGCTGGTCATGCCGCGAGGAAGGTCCAAGGCAAGGTAGCTCCGCAGACGGCGCGCGCTGGCAGGAGCAATGCGAGGACACGTGTGACTGCGCCGCCTGAGGGGCAAGATTCCGGATGGGTCCAATCAACGCCAGCTACGCCACGTGGCCAAACAGTTCCGGAGGCGGGAGGCGCTGCGATGTGGCCGTGCAAGCAAGCGTCCAGGGAACACAGCGACAAGATGTGGTGGATGCCCATGGCGGTGCAATAGCGGGATCTTCGAGAGCGGGGGGGGGGTGCAGCGCCCGCGGAGAGCCGTGGGGACGGCCATGACGAAGAGCCTTTGGTCAACAGGCAGTGGCGGGGGAATTCATGAGAGTGGATCGAAGCTGCGACGAAGTTGTGGGTGGATGAAATCAAGTTCTGGAACGAGACGAAGGGCAATGGATTCTTTAAGCTGATCCAGGAAGCGCGACTGTATTTGCTGGCCATCGCCAGGAGAGTCCCCCCTCCCGACATCTGTCGGACTATACTCCTCCTTCACTCAAGCTGAGTCAAGCATCCCACAACACAAAATCAAGGACGAGTCGCAGCTGAAGGCGGAGAAAGACAGGGCCATCACAGTGCAGAGCATCGCCTGGCGCGTCATCCATGGGTGGATCTTCAAGTCCGCAAGTTCCTCACGGGGTCACCACTCCATGTACAAGTACGTGCTCAACCACGTGGTGACGGACATCGTTCGTGTCATGTGGTTTGGAGAGAACTGGCGCACGTGTGTCAGCCCCGCTGTCTGCCACATCACACTGGAGTTGGACATTATGCTCCCCATTTGGTTTGTGGGCGTGCACATCGAGGATAGGGACGAGGACAACGAGCTGGCATGCTACCAAGAGGATACCGTGCAGCGGCTGTTGGGCGCCTTCACGAGCCCCATCACTCTGGCGGAGGGGATCGATGGCGGGCATGTCTCGTATGACAGGCAGAGGAACATCGCCGAGGCTATCAGGGTTCTACTCGCAGCGACAATGTGCCTCATGAGGATGAGCAGGGATGATCTGCGTTCCCATTTGGGCCATTTCGATGCATCCTTGTTCGTTCAGCTCACCGTGAAGCCGATGCTGGTGTCGTCCATGCATCGGTCGTTCGATGCTCATCGCCATATCACGGAGAGGATGGAGAAGCCCGCCATGACGTTGGCGGACCCACCTCTAAACATCCCGCACTGGGCGTCCTGCGGGACACTTTTGGGCATGATGCCACTCTTCCGTCGCTGATGGATGCGAAAAGGCTGGATTGGTGGGGGGATTGGCTCCCCAGAGGACGAAGACGATAGATAAAACAGTCAGCGGGGACGGCGATGGAGGGGGGTAGAGAAGTACGGTAGGCATCGCAAGACGATAACGATCGTCGCCTCGTCAGGTACGTCGGGGGCGGGCGCAAAATGTGCTGTCTTGCAGTGGATGGTTGATAGGTGTCCGTCATTTGCTGGCTCTGTGCTTGTGCGGCTGGTGGCACACGGTGGGGGTGTCGACGTCCTGTGTCGAGGTGGGGGGATGTGCTGATGTGTTGTCGCCCTAACGCGGTTGCACGTTTTGTGTTGGGATCGGATTGTGGTCTGTTCACGATGTGTGACAGATATCGGAGAGAGAGAGAGAGAGAGAGAGAGAGAGAGAGAGAGAGAGAGAGAGAGAGAGAGAGAGAGAGAGAGAGAGAGAGAGAGAGAGAGAGAGAGAGAGACTGAATCTGATTTTTACTGCAATGACAAAGTTTCAAGGTTTCTACTTCGGGAATTTGATGTGTTCGCCCATGTATCCCTGCAGCCGCGGCCGCGGGGTCAGGCTCGGAGGGTGGCCATGTTCATGGCCGCATCCGCGACTGGGGTCAGCCGCATAGCGGCCACGTTTTTCACGGATTTTTCCCGTTAAAAATAATACGCAAAATATATATATATATTTGGGGTCGTAGGTTTTTTCAAAGTTCAAACCCTACAACCCCATATTTCCTTTTAAGGGAAAAACGAAATTTATGGAATTATAAAAAGCAAAAAACAAAAACGGCGGAGAGAAAAGATTAAAAAAAGAAAACAGAAGTCTTTTTTTGGGGGGATTTTTGGTT